TTAAGTACAGACTACTGTTCGGGACGGAGAGCGGCCTTTTTATATCGTCAACGAACGCTCCGGATCTCTCTAGGGATTTCGGCACGGGTCTAGATTGTTCGCGGTGGCTTATCGAGTGCATTACCGATGAGTCATGCGTTTGCTCTCTAAGATATCGGTCAGAGCCGGCTTCAGATTTATTACAGATCTAATTAATCAAAAGGGTTTAACTTCAGCAAAAATTCCTGCGATTTTAGAACCCATAGGCACAAGTCGAGACGACGGAAAACGGTACGACACTTGTTCCATGGAAAAATGATAAATCTGTTGTTTGGGACTTTACTTGTGTAGATACATTAGCAACTTGCCATCTTCCTGCTACTTCTGCGAAAGCTGGTGCTGCTGCTACGGAAATATCAGAATTAGGGAAATAATTATATCTTTCGCCCAATAGCTGTTGAAATTTTTGGTGTTTTTGGCTCTGAAGCCTTATCTTTCATCAATGAAATTGAAAAAAAGGTAACCGATGAAACTCACGAATCAAGAGCCACATCTTTTCCCATTCAAAAAATTAGTAAAGCCATCCAAAGATAAATGGGGCTTCGTTTTTCGGTACTCTTCTTGATTCCAAAAAACTTGATGAAATTTACATGTTTCTTGAAAACCAACTTTATAAAGAAAAGAGAGGTTATTACCTCTCTGGTGGTTTGTAATTACAAGTCACTTTATGGAATTAAAACAAAAGCAAATGGAAAAAATACTTTCTCTCAGCAACATTCTGAAATGGGTTTCAAAGATATTTCGAATTGTTCAGTGATAAATTCTTCAGTCTAAACCCTTGGGTTTAATGGTTTGAAAAATATTGGTAACACCTGTTTCATGAACAGCGTAATCCAATGTTTATCAAATACGAGATGGTTATTGAAATATTGAAAAAGGATGAATTCATGAAAGATATCAATACTAGCATTTCTAGTAAGTAGGGTGCTTTAATCCAAGCGTTTGTAGAAGTTCAAGGAGTTGTGGTCAGAATTCATTTGATGGAGTAGTAAATAAAGTTTTGCTCCTCGATTCATGGGTAATTTCAATCAATACGCCCAGGAGTTTCTTCGTTATCTTTTAGAAGGTTTACATGAAGACCTTAATATAATTAATGCGAAACCTAAACTGATTTTAACGGAGATTGACGAAAAATTGAGTGACAGCTGAAATGTACAAGAGTCATGGCTCACATATTTGAGTATGCATAACTCTAAGATTGTAGATAATTTCGTTGGTCAAATGAAATCCACTGTGGACACTGATCAGAAACCTTTGATTCTTTCTGAGATTTGTCTTTCTCCATACCACAAAGAACCGACCAATTGAGTTTGTAGCAATGCTTGGATTCGTTTGCAAGAAAAAAAACTTTGGATGGAAATGAAGAACCGACGTGTACGAAATGCAGTTTCCCCATATTTTAGTAATTCATTCAAAAAGATTATCTCCAACGAAAAGATTTAGAGGCAAATTGAATGATATTATCATATTTCCTCTAGAAGCATTGGATACGGACAATTTTGCAGCAGAAAATGTGGCTACTTGTTGTTATAATCTATATGCACTTTTAAATCACAGTGGGGCTACTGAAAGAGGGCATTTACAGCATACTGCAGACACCCGTATACTGGCGCGTGGAACAAATAAAACGATTCACACGTGTCACTAATTTCACCAAAATTGTTGCAATTTTTTGATTTGTTTTGACTAATAACGATGAAGTTACATCATTTTTTGGGAATATACTGACCTTTTTTTCAGCTGATCCTGCTATTTCAAATGAATTCGATAAAAGTTTCCTATTTTAAAGAACTAGAGTAATCTGTTTTCAGATCGAAAATATCATCAAAAACTAGAATTGTCAAATTTCGATTTTTAGCTCAACCGTCTCTATTTCGGATTATATAAAAAAAAACAAAGGAACTTTCAATAGGTTTCATACTTCTTATAATCCGATATGAACCAATTTTCAATGGAACGTTTCGTTGATTAGATTTAACTTAAAACTATTTTTTTAAGCGGTTTTTGTAGCCACTGTAATAACAAATTACGCTATATATTACAACTCATGTGTTTCCCGACTTTTTTCTCACCATCACAGTATGTTCATACCGGTCAAAGATATTTCAAAAAAGCAGGTACCAATTTTTTTTTTGGTCTAGAACTCCACATATCGGAAGAACATGTAATACACAAACCATTTCCGTTGTTCAAACTATTTCATTTAATGTTCAGAATGTCGTCCATCGTGACATAAACACATATTCGCTCTGGCAATAGTATTTTTATGCCCATTTTCAGGCATTTGTGAATTTGTAAGCATGCAATCCCTCCTTATTGTTTATTTCAATTCGCTAATAATGCCGAAAATTGAGGCGAATATCTTGTCTTTATAAAAGCCCCACAATGAAAAGTCCAGAAGTGTCAGGTTAGGTGTGTTTGCAAACTTTTTATTTTCGGCAAAATACGATTTCATTTGACTTTTTTGCTTTTATTCAGAAACAAAACTGACAATAATAATGGTAACTATATAAAACAAATAACAATCTCAACTTTTAATACTAGATGTGAATTTAATTCACATCCTCCGGGGCTCACAAATGACTACTTTGGCTTCAACAAAATAATTTTCGTAATGAGGCGAGGATAAACTCCTTGCTGTAGTCATTTCGACTACCCGTACTCTGCTATCGAGAGCAAGAAAAATTTGCTCAACTTTTCCTGTTGGCCATGAGTTTTTGGGAAAACTATCATCCCCAATAATGACGATGCCTCTTCTTCAACATCACTGCTGTTGAATTGCCACTTATTTCTTATTGCCACGTATTTATCAGCGAGGGTACGCAATTCCGTATCCACAGTTTCCAGAAAAGGTCCATATTTTATATCTTTGTGCCACTCGCCATATTTTCTCAAATGAAAATATGTATTATCAGAAATACCCAGTGGATTCACTTCACTGAACTTTTCAATGAGGAAGTGGTTTGGTGTCAAGCTTCCGCTCCCCTGTTGCGGTGCGTAGCTTCCAGCTTGACGGTTCAATTCTTGCCGGTGTTTTGGCAAAGGTTGGCCCAAGAATGGTTCTCGTCGCACCTGTATCTAGCAGCATGGTGCAAGGCTCTTTGTTGATGAGGCCGTCTACGACAACACCTTTGTCTTGTCGTTGGAGAACGGCAAAATATGCGTTTTTTACGGGGGCTTGCTGGGTACAGGCCGACGATTGCCCCTTCTCATCGACCCCCTCTAGTTTTCCTGATTTGATGTCGATTCTTTGAAAGCTGGACATTTACTACGCACATGTCCAATTTTCCCACAGTTCCAACATCTTATTTTTTTCCTCTCAGGCAACAGTTCTTTCATTACTTTTCTAATGGTGGCCTCAATATCAGCAGGCACTTGTCCATCTTCCTCGATAGCTCGAACTTTGCTCTGGCTCTTGCAGGATTGTTTTGCAGCCTCGAAATCCAGAGCGCTTGCCAGTGCATCCACGAGATGTTTGGGATGAGCTAGTGTCAAGGCCTGCCTCGTTTCTTGGTCGCGAAGTCCGTCCAAGAATGCTAACCGAATATCTTGTCTTTATAAAAGCCCCACAATGAAAAGTCCAGAAGTGTCAGGTTAGGCTGTATTATCAGAAACACCCAGTGGATTCACTTCACTGAACTTTCCAATGAGGAAGTGGTTTGGTGTCAAGCTTCCGCATCTTGATGATCGGAAGACATAACTTAAAGGATGACTGTTCTATACTCCATTTCAACAATGAGAGTATGTTATTTCATACTCTTGATATACAGGAGATATTTCTCTTGTTCGGGCACTGTTGAGTAAGAATTACCTCCAAAGCACTTTCAATAGATTTAATTATTTTTTGAGAAAGAAAGTTTTTGGCTTTCTACTACTCCATCTTGATACAAAAAAAGAAGGATGAGGGAGTCTTCCAAAGAAAGGAAGGAAGGAACTTTATACATGGATGTGTAGATCATGCAAAGAAGTAACTTTCAGACACAAACTGAAAGAAAGTCCTCCTGAAACAGCTACTTTCATATAAACAATTCTTTCCGTGTTAGGAATCACACGTTAAAAGGTAAGACCTCGTTAATCCTTAGCTCGTACAAGTTTCGACTTCTGAGGGTTGTCGTTCGTAGGGGTGCGACTGCTGGTTAACGGAAAAAAGATTTTAAACCAATTTTTTTTCCCATATTCGTCCCATTTGACTTGCTTCTGGTGGATTCTTGAACCATTTTGTGTGACGAATGCAGCAAAACTGTTGAATTCGGTTCGAATCTAGTTCTCAGATAGCTGGTTTCATTCTTTTTCAGCTCTGCAGAGCTTTGATCCATTATCAGAGTTTTTATGCTGGATTACCTCTTCTACAAATGAATCTATGAATTGACATGACGCCATAATAGTACAATACTAGTATACTTTATTAAAAAATGATGAAATTTCAATTTCCATTTTTAATTTTGGGTTGTTTTTTTTACATTTGGTCCAATTTTTTAGAAACATGGTAAATTCGATATTTTGTTGAAATTTTTGAATAAGTATTTTTTCATTATACTTCTAAGTATAAATTACTTATCAAATCATGCCATGATAATATGGTCCGATATTGTGCTTGACGAATTCAATATTAAAAGTTATTAACTTAATTACTTTTATTAATTCTAAGGCAGTACGAAGTTTGAGAGGTCAGCTGGTATAAACAGTTTTTCAACTGTTTCTCTGAACATCTTATAATAAAGTGATCATCAAAATACAGTTCTTTAATTCAAACTCAATATAATATTAGTATGTATTCTTTATCATATGCTTTATAATGGTTCATCATTTACGAAAGTAAATAAGTGAGTGCGGCTTTTTGTTTTTGTTAAAATTTATTTTTATTCATCTGGAATCAATGAAGTCGCCCCGGAGCACAAATTAATTTTATTGTTGTTTTTATTTTTATCGTTGTTTTATAATTTCACAAATAAACATTTGAAAACTGAGTCTTGAAATTTATTTAATTTCATGAAATTTGAAGGCTCAAAGCTTGTTAATATACATCGTTCTGAAAAGCTAAGTTACGAAATAACAATAAATTCTGTATTTCATTAAAGTGTGAATGAGTTGTAATAGTTCCTGAGAGATTCTATTTTTAAGCATATATCCTCTTTAAGTTTAGGATCACCTAGGATGATGGTTTTTCCAATTTCATGTGTTCCAAATATCTTCTTCTTCTTGGGTATAGTGGTGATTGATAGTCCTTTTTGAACCAGTTTTGGTGGATATGGAATTTCCGACCATGTGTAGGACCATTCTACCTGAAATTTAAGTGTTTTGATGAGTGTTTTTCACAAAATCATGACAAACCGGGTAAACTTTTGTGTTTCTTACAAATCACATATCTATAAAGAAAGTTCTTCAACAATATGGTTGGAATAAAATTCAGATTTCTATTGAATAAACTAAGGTGAACAAAAATAAATATGTCTCAGCATATTCTTTAAAAACATTATTAGTGGACGTGTGAATGTTTCTTGTTAAAGAGTAAACATCAGCACAATAATCCTTCAGCTTTCGAAAAAGTTACATATTTCTGATCTAACACCTATCCAAATGTATGTTCTCTCATCGAAGAAAATCATGAATATGAAAGTTATTGGAAATTGAAATTATTTCTAAGCCCCGCTCTTGCTGAAGTTTTCATGGGCAACCTCGAAAAAAATATTCAACACTCAGTTTTCAAAAAATGCATTATTGGTATAGGTATGTTGACGATGTTATAGCCTACTTTACAGAAAAACATCATCAATTAGTCATTTCTTCAATACGTGAACTTCATTCACAAAAATGATAAAATTAACAATTGAATAGAAATCAAACATTTGATAAACTTTTTGTACCTCACGTTACAAAAACTAACAACAAACATGATTTCGCAATTTACCACAAATCGGCCCAATAATATTTATTATTTTATATAGAGCGATTCACAATTTTCGTTTCGTTATTGTTTCGCAATTATTTGTTTTTTATATTTCAACAAAAATCAGAAATGATCAAAAGAGTGATTCAAATAACTCATATCTATTTATAGGATTTTGAAATATTTTGCTACATTTTGCCCTGTATACTAAATTTTGACTTACAGAAAATTTGTATGTACCGTTTTCTATTTATAACCTGGCATATCAAGTAGGAATTTTTTTCAAGGATATTGAAAATGATTTCGCTCTCGGTAGATGAATTTTGAAAAGATGCCGACCCAATTTGCCTTATCCCACAATAATAAATCATATCGCACGAGATTGTTCAAAATAAAACATAATCAATTGTTTATACAAGTTGAGCTGAGAAAAAATAGTTAGGCTTTTGTTTCGGATTAAATATTTTTTCGGTCTCCTTCATTTGACAGGAATGTATGCAAATCAGTATGAGAAATCACAACGGACATCACTGAGTACCTAGCCTATGAAAACAAAAAACTATACGATGCTAAATTCAGTTGACAGTTGTCAAATAATGCATATTCACACTTCTGAATCGGTAGATGTTTATAATAATAATAATAATAATTCCTTTATTTTCACAAATTAATTTGCACATCAACAGTATGATAATGCAATTAAAAAAGAGAAAAACGTCAATAAATTCAAATAGAGAAATGATATATACATATTAAATGACTAGAATGATTAAAATGTCTCTGGATAAGTATAGAACATCCACGTCACACACAATTATTCTAAATAATATAAAGTATAAACATAAAATATATCAAAATTAATAATTCTACGTGTGTATAAATAAAAAAGGTGTGTATTAAATAAACCGTACACTTCACATGAAAATAAAGTTACGGCTGAAACTCCTCAACAGTGTAGCAGTTTTTTGACAATAAGAGTTGCTTAACTTTTTCTCTTGAAAATATATACATTTCCTGAAACTTCAATGTCATCGGGAAATTTGTTTCGAAAATTTTGCTAATTTGAATACGATGCCTTTCATAAATAGCATTAACTGTTTCATTTGTGATAAAAAAATTGCGCCAGATATACTTCATTTATTTGTGGAGAGGAAAATGCAACAATACGTGAAATTGCTTTCACGAGGCGAGATGCTGCAGGGAGACCTCATATCGATATTGATAATGCTACTAGGATTTGTTTGAACTGTTCGATATCAGTTAATGATGAAGTAATACAGCTAGTCTTCGTCTCAATATTTGCACTCAAATTTCAAGCCACACATGCTGCATTTGTAATGCTGACAGAGAGTGTCGCTACAGTTTAGAGTTCATGTTTTTTTGAGAAAAAATATATTCATTTCGAATTGCTGTCAACATCATTTAGATGAATGAAAATGATAACATTTTTTCATTGTTGCAAGATGGTTTGCAATGTGTGAATAGTCCATATACTGTGAGAGGTCCAGCAATGCAGGTGTTTTTGGAAAAACTTCGTGATATGGTTTCAAGAAATTCCCAAAACTATGGAAATTTTGAAAATATTGGTGAAATCAGTGATGTAGACTCTAAAACCCTAACTTCATTAACAAAAGAGCAATTCCGAGATTTGCAGACTTTTTGTGATCCAGTTGCACAAGCGCAGAACAGGACAATTCCAGAAAAACATTTATTACTTATCTTTGTAAAAATGCGACAAGGCTTGACCGATGAGTTCCTAAACATTATTTTCAATTATTCTTCTAGGCAAAATACCATTTTAATTATTTTCAATGTGAAAATGTCCCTTATGCAACAATTTATTCCTAACAATATTGGATTTTCATCTATAACGAGGCAAGATTACATAGCAAATCACATAACATAATTTACTTGTACTTGTATTGTACAATTTTAATCTACAACTACCTAAAGCAATCTCGTGTATTGCCTGTACCTATAACAAAATTGAAAAATCTAGTAGTTTTAGGATACCAATGACAAATTGGTTTCAAAGAGACGATATTTTAATAATGAATAGAGGGTACCGCGATTCGGTAGGTATGTTGGAAGAAATGGGTATCAGTAGCTATATTCCACCAATTTTGAGACGCAATCAGAAACAGTTTTCAACTGCAGAAGCTAATAATTCAAGAATCATCACGAACTCCAGATCGATAGTAGAAGTACGAAATCGACACTTGAAATCAATGTTCGAATTGTTCAAAGGAACAATTTCATTACATCACGCCGTTCATCTGAATTATTTTTTAAAAATAGCTGGTGGATTGATCAACAGATATCGTGTATCTATACCAAATCTATCAGAAGAATTAGCTAGAACTTTACTGGAAAAAGTGGATGAAGTCAATATTGTTAAAGCAAGAGTAGAAATAGAACAATTTACATAAGAGGAATGGAAACTGGAGACAGCTGAACCATAATGACGTGCAAAATTTTCCGCGTTAGGATATACCCAGATAGTACAGATTGTGACAAATAATTAGAATATCAAACAAATTTTTCATATGTATTTTTGAACAACTGAACTGGTATGAAATTCATGGTTAATTCATTATTTAATGTCAAATAAATCGTGAAATTCGGATAAATCAGAAGAACGATGGAATATCGGAAAAAAACCTCACCCTCGCTTACACGGCGATTGCTCTAGGTATCAACTGATCTACCTAGGGTTTGGATTCAAAATTAGCAACGGGATAAGATATCTCCCCATATATTCCATCATTTCTAGTGAGAGAGTGGAAATGGTGAGTAGAGCATAAGAACGATTACAGCTGAACAAATTGAACTTTTTTATCTTCTTTGACCTGAAGAACGACATTTTGCCGGTTACAACAGAGCTTTAGAGGTATCTTGATTTCTGAATTGTATTTTGAGCCAATTATCTGAACTATGTGAGAGATCTAGCTCCCGAAAATTATATTATAATATCAAAAAAGTGTCGTCAAGTCGAAAAATTATGATCCGAAACAAGGTAAAGTCTTACGATTTTTTCTCAACTCACTTTGTATACATAGTAAATTACGCTTTTATTTTGAACAACCTCGTGCGATATGGTTTATTATTGTGGGATAAGGCAAATTGGGTCGCCGTCTTTTCAAAACCGAGAGCGAAATTACATTTTCAATATCCTTGAAAAATATGCCTACTTGACTATGCCAGGTTATAAATAGAAAACGGTACACACGAATTTTCTGTAAGTTTTACTCAAATTCACAAATCATATTCACTATGGAATGCTAAAATATAAAAGAGTTTGTGTCAAAATTTAGTATACAGGGCGAAATGTTTCGAGTGAAAATTTTGTTGAAATGTAAAAAACGAATCATTGCGAAACAATAATATATATCACAACGAGTATTGTGAATCGCTCTATATGAAATAATAAATCTAATATTTTCGGTGTATTGTGGCTTCAACTAGAAACATTTGAATGAGTTATTGTGATTTTTTTTAACAATATGCATGAAAGCGTCAATTCATTTTAGAGTTTCATTTTTCATTTTATAGTACCCAAAAATAATAACGATTCATCCTGTATATTATTCTTCAAAGCTCTTAACATATATATGAAAGTTTGGTCTGAGATTAGAACTATAGACTCCATGTTGGGAATCACACGTTAAAAGGTAAGACCTCGTTAGTCCTTAGCTCGCACAAGTTTCTCAACTTCTGAGAGTTGTCGTTCGTATCGGGGCGACAGCTGATTAATGGAAAAACAGATTATAAAACAGAAACAGAACAGATTTAGTTTTTTTCAATTCTACCAATAAATATGTGTGATATTAACTAGCTAATATTGGTCTGAAAGTGGTATTTTCCAGCTTTGACACCTTGTATTTCGAAAACTATACATTGAATTTTTTTTGTGCCTATGATGACTTTTGATCAGTAGATCGAGCTCAACAAAATATTAAAATTTCAAGCGATTCGACAGAAAGCCATTTTGCATAAGGAGTGTGCGTGGTCCTTTGTATAAATGAGAAGTAAGTTTTGATTTCATTCATTTTATTGTTGACTTTGTTTATTAATAATGTTATATTTAGATTTTGGTTGTCTCCTTTGTTGAGTTTAAATGCCTATATCTTAATATATATAGGAATTTTCCTCAACACTTCAGATGGATTCAGTGAGGATGCACTATAAAAAACACATTTTTGTCTCAGGTGGAGTCTTGTCCAAATAAAATATAACATACCAGGAACCAACACGATCTGTGGATAAATTTTAGAAAAGATATAATCGAAATATGAATACAGAACAAGTTAACATAATAAACTTGTAAAAGATTTGAAGAATTATAAGAACTCGCAAATCATCAATCTAGGCTTGAAAATGCGTTTTATGCTAACCAACCGTGAATGAAATACAGAACGCACTTTATTGTGAAAATGTCAAATATCAGTTCTTATAACTGGACTTGAAAAACGGAAATCTGCTACAAGGAAATATTCTTGATCTCCTCACTTTTTGGATTTGCTTTTGAAGGTATTAGATAGTATTAGTTCAATTATAATTTATACTTGTATAACACTTTTTTTCTGATTGTATCTTAATTAATTTTCAATAAATTATGGAGCATCAAAAAGCGTGGCTTCTCTCTTCGAGACTTGGCAAAGAATTTCCATTGTTGACAAAAAAAAAATGAACAATCCTCTTTTTCCCGGGATACCAACTATGTACTAATTGTCACAAATTCAAATTTCGAAGTTTCATATTTCTAATACTAGTTAAGTTACAATTTTAATACATAGTTCCAAATTTAGCTACAGTTCTGTTTCATATATATTGATTCTAATGATTTTATTATGTATCTTTTAAATTTTCAAAACAGATACAATATTATTTCTGTTGATAGTGTTGTACAAATTCTATCTGTCGTATCTATTCCAAAATGATTAATTTCATACTCAATTTTTGACATTCCCTCGCTTTGTCACGTGACAAGCGGCAACAAGGCAAGTGCCTCATTACGGAAACATCGATGTCCGCCATTGAGGACGATGCTGTTCTATGTAAGTGAAATACACCACATTGTGTAGCAATCTTGTGAATGATACCTGTTTCCATTCCATAACGAATGTTTGGAGTACGAACTGAATAGGGTAAAGTGGTTTTTGTATAATTCAATGTTTATATAAAAGTAGTTGTTTCGGAAATATTTTTCTTTCGTGTGTTTCAATGTTTTTATAAAAATAGTTGTTTCGAAAGGGTTTTTTCTTCCAGTTAGTAACTTTCATTATCAGTCAACATCTGTTCCGATATACAGTGTAGATGTGCTATTTTACCTCGTCAATTTCTGACGAAGTGTTACTATAAAATCAAGTGAGTTGATTATAAAATACATTCAAATTGTGAAGTGTCAGTGTACCCATCATGGACAATGAACCACCACCCAATGAAGGGGGTCCAACCAGCGAAGATCATTCATCGATTCAGCAATCGCAGTTTCCAAAATCAACCGGTCAACAATTGGAACTAAACACTGAATCTGATAGTACACATGAAAATACACAACAAAAAAGTAAAGTATTCAATTTTCAAAAACCCAACGTATATTCAGACATGGTATATGTTTTCATTGAGAAGATTAATGACCAAAATATTGGTAAATTACATCCCATGGCCGTAGGTCATATACATTGCATCAAAAACTAAGATTACAAAACATCAAAAAAATTGATAGAGTAGGCAAAAATAGAATAAGAGTGCAAATGAACAGCATCAGGGATGCTAATAAATTAGTTATGAATACAGAACTTCCAAAAGAAAATTTAGAGACATATATTCCTAATAATTTATTATACAGAAAGGGAGTCATCAAACAGGTAGACACCAGCTTTGATGAAAATTATCTTTGTTCGAATTTTCTATCCCCTATTACTATAACTAAAGTGAAAAGAATCAGTAGAAAAATTAATAGGAATGGAGAAGACATAGTAGTATCGAGACAAACTATCATAGTAACTTTTGAAGGTAATATTTTACCATCTCAAATATTTATTAATTCCGTCGCATGCAACGTTGAACCGTATGTACATAAAGTCACACAATGTTTCAATTGTTTAAAATATGGACATGTCTCTAAACAATGCCGAAGCACCATCACATTATGTATAAACTGTGGAAAGGAAAAAGATGAAACACATCTTTGCCGGGATCCGCAAGACAACTGTGGCATATATTGTAAGACGAATGGTCATAAATCTATATCCAGGATCTGTCCAATCTATAAAAAACAAGAGGAAATCAAGAAAAAAAATGGCCGAAGAAAATATTACTTTTTTCGAAGCAAAAACTATCAGTCGCAATACGTACGCTTCTACATTAAAAACAAACAATACCCGTCAGATTTTAGATTTAAATTCAGATCAAGATTTTCCACCTCTTTACAGCGACCAACCGAGGAGAAATTATATTCATGTCTCAACCGATCACATCACAAAGACTAAATACTCAGTATACAACCACAACAAGAACACAAATTTCCAACAACACCCATTCCACTGCGGAAGTAGGAAACGTGCAAAAGAAACGAAAAGCGTCATCACCTCTTACAAATGTAGATAACCCGCCTATGTTTCCATTCAGATTTGGACCAGAGAATCCCATTTCTTTACCTCCCACAGAAAATAACATAAACAATGAACGAGAAGAATTTATAGCAGGGTTTTTATCAGTCTTGCAAAAATACTCAGCGTAGTTGATTCATTTGAAGAACTAGCCCCATTAGATATTGAGAACATAAAAAAAATCGCGTTTGCCCAACCCGGTAATCACCACGAAAATGTCGATGATGAATTTTAAAGAGCTAAATATTCTTCAATGGAATGCACGTTCTGTGGTTTCGAATAAAAATAGTCTAAGCTAAAATTGATATCGCTATGATATCTGAAACTTGGGACGCGGTAATAAGAAAAGACAGATGTGATGGAAAAACTGGAGTTGCTATCCTAATAAAGATATTCCCGAAGAAATCCAAGTATGTGCTGTAAAAATTTATGACGACATATCTAGTATAAATGTCACAACTGTTTATTGTCCACCGGATGTAAATGCTACGATTATTGGAGGATACTTTAACGCTCATCATGAATTATGGGGTTCTTACAAAAACAATACTTCTGGAAACAATATGGTAAATGCGTTGAACAACACGAATGCAATACTGCTCAATGACGGATCTCAAACGAAAATATCTAGGACAGCAAATAAATCAGCTGTAGACGTTAACGCTTGCATCACCAGAAATCTAAATGACACTTTGGGATCGGACGATTTCCAAATACTCATGAATTTAAAGATACGCACACCCTCCGCAAGTTTATGGCAACAAGCAAGACGAATGCATATAATTGCTTCCACAAGCACAACGTACGATAATAGTGACTGGATAGAAATTTTTTTCAAAGGAATCACACCATGTTGGGTAAACAAGGAAACAGATTTCGAAGTGAACCCAAAATCAGCCAACGATCATCACATAGAGATATAGTATCTGCACCAATATCCTTAAACGAACTGGATTTTGCGTTAAAAGACTCAAACAAATCGTCACCTGGTCTCGATCAAATAACATATGATATGCTTTGGAATCTACCACCTACAGCTAAAAAATTTCTATTAGAAATATTCAATGATGTTTGGACTGGAAACGGAGAGATTGAAGACTGGAAGAAAAGCATTGCGGTGCCAGTTCTGAAGCCAGGGAAAAACCCTGATTTACATGAATCCTACCGACGCAAATCTTCATTATCATGTATATACAAAACATTCGAACGAATTATCAAGCACAGATTAGAATTTTACTTGACTTGCAATTCTAGTCTCCCTTCAAAACAGTTTGGCTTTAGAAAAGGACTAGGAACCATTGATGCAGTTTCACATCTTGTACCGATATTCAGTTATGTTTTTCAAAAAATCATTACCTAGGTGCTGCCTTCTTGGATATAAAAGGGATACACACCGAATCGTAAGATTCGGTGTGTATCCATGTGCTGAGACAAAAATTAATAGAAACTGTAATCCCCGAAAGAGTTGCTAATTTCATATATAAAACATTATCGCGAAGAGAAGTGTACATTAGAACAGAAAATAATTCGATTATAGGACCTCGATATGTCTCCATGGGATTACCACAAACATCCGTCCTATCACCATTACTGTTTAATATTTTTACAATTAATATACACGAGGAAAATAATTCCTATAAACTCATTCAGTACGCAGACGATTTTGTTGTATATAACACCGAAAAAAAATTACAAACCTGCATAGTGTCTTTGAAATCTTCCATCGCATCGATAATTACGAAGTTTAACTTATTGGGATTCACCCTCACCCCCAAAAAAACCTATGTTACATTTTTTACCAGGCACAATTTACCAAACATGAATAACGTCACAGTTAACAATACCGATCTACCAGTGTCTCCAACAATTAGGTACCTTGGAATTATTTTAGACAAGAAGCTCACATGGAAACCTTTCATTTTCAAGACAGTTAACTCAAAAGATTCCTGCTTATTTAGACTCACCTGCCATCCTCCAAAAATATCGTGGCAAATATATGATATCCGTTTATTAGTTAACAGTAATATTTCTTTCAATGGTATAATTGTATAATGAGCTTCGTAAATATCCGTTTTGGCGTACTTTCCTTTCGAAAGTTCCATCAATAATTTATGACCACCAGCTTCTATTGGATCGTATGGTCTTATTAATCCATCAGCCTCTAGAAATCTTGGAAGGCGCAGTCTAGAAATATCCTCATTGAAGTCCGTGGCTCTTTTCACTACATCAAAGGACCCACTTGCAAAGTCAACTACTCCGGCAACAGGTCTTGCTACGAGTCCAACTGCTCCTTTCCCCAAACCTTTGAAAAACCCTTCAACACCCTGTTCTTTAGCACCTTCTACTGGTTTGGTAAATACTCCTGTTACACCAGAGTATACTCCCTATAAATAAAGTGATATTTATTAATTTACACTTGAAGAAAGAAGATATCTAAAAAGCTATTTTAATCATAGTTCGAACGTAATGTAATATTTAGGCGTTTTTTAGCTGATCCCACTATTTCTATCTCGAAAATGGTAAGACCTAAAAGGTCGGTTAAATTGGACGAAAGTTTCCTATTTTGGGAAACTAGAATAATGTCTTTTCAGATAGAGAATATCAGTGGTTGTTTTTGAAATGAATTGGTTAAGGCTTTCGCGGCCGAGATTTTCAGTGTTGCGATCTTTATTCGGGTTTGAAGGCAGTCGTGGTTTGGAAGTGTATTCTAACGTTTCGCCAGCATGAGTGGCTGGCTTCTTCAGAGGTTTGTTCATCTTGATTATTCATCTGAGTCATCTTGATTATTCATTTTAGTCATCGGTGAACCATCAAGATGAATAAACCTCTGAAGATGCCAGCCACTCGTGCTGGCGAAACGTTACGATACAGTTCCAAGCCACGACTGTCTTCAAACCCGAATGAAGATCACAACACTGTTTTTGAAATATTCACTAAAACTAGAATTGTAGAATTTTGTTTTTTAAATCTACCGACTCCATTTCGAATGATATAAAAAAGACAAGGAAACTTTCAATAATGTTTCATATTTGTCATAATCTGATATAAACTAATTCACAATACGACGTTTCGTTTCATCATCAACTTAATTTTTTCAAATACCTACGGACCTCTAGTTTTTTCATCGATTTTTGTAGCCACTGTAATAACGAATTCAGCTATATACAATACATCTGAAACAAACATTATTGTTCTATGAAAATTGGCTTCTGATCAGTTCTTTCATATTCATAAAAAAATCACTGGAATGCATGGGTTCAGCTCTACTTGTCAATTTTCAAAAGATCTGTGGAGTTGATGTACATTTGAGTTCTAAGATATTGGTTTGTACCTTTCTGAGACTACACAGATATTGATAATGTTTTTTCGGAGACAAACATCAGGAAACACATGTATTTTAAAGCTATAAAATAGTTTCTTCAAGCGTTTTCATATGAAAACACGAAACACGTGTTGCGGTTTTGTAAACTATCCAGTGGAATTCTCACAATGAAGTGTTACTTGAAAGAGTTATGAATTTTCATCAAGTATCAGTCAATTCGATCACATTTTCGAATATTGCTACAGTTTTTCTGATATAAATAATATTTTGCAGTGATTATCTCAAACAATCAAACATAAAAGTTACATTAATCGACTTGACTCAAACTTTTGATTTTCAGTTTCAAAATGTTAACCAACTAGATTACTCACTAATTAGAATAATTCAACATCTGTATCGAAGATTGATTACATTCTAACCAATATCACTCAATTCATGATTACTGAATGTGTAATTGAAAAAACTCAGTCAGCTTCACAGGAAGCAAGAGGCAGTTGCTTTTCGACCTTGAAGATGTTCAGTAATGGCATTAATGCAATTTATTTTCATTATGTCTGATCCCCCAAATGTATATAGAGTTTCAATAATATATCAAGAGGCATCCTCATTGTTCGTTAACCAAGAGGCAAAACAATAATTTTAAAGACAATGAAATGTCGATGTCCTATTCCCAAAATGAGACATGGAAATGAACAAAGAATATAAAATAATTCAACAAAAATTAAATACAAAAAAATGAACGAGTCGGTTTTGATTATCGATTATAAAACTATTTTATTATGAACATATGTTCAGAAAGTATCAATGTTGTTTACTTATGGAGTTGATTTATTCTGCCTTGGTGCAAAAGGAATATTTCATACCAATTGCAAATCTAGGGCCTCAAGCAAAATGGATAGAAATACTATGGTGTAATTAATCACTAGGACCCCTTCCTATTTGAAATATTATGACGAAAACACACGATCTAGGGTATTCTTGATTCTTCAGAAAATGAAGAGATTCAAGATCCAACGTACTTTGGCATTCAATTCACAGAGAGGCGCTAAGCGGACATTAAGAAACGCTTCTTGTTCCATCTATCAGCATGTGTTCAAAGTTGGGTTGATCTCACTTCTCGCGTCGAAATATTTTGACTAAACTGTAAGTAATAACTGCCATTGCGATGGTTACCGTAAACTATTATTTCATTCATAGAGTTCGAGGTCGATCACCCTTTTCTTCGGTGTCGATATTTTTCCAGTTGGAAAAGCGCTGAATTACTTTATGACTGTCGGACCTTTGAGCGTCGTTGTGGTACATTGAACATGGTCATGTACAAGTTGGGCTAGACTAAACAAATGAATATATTACATCCTGCGATGATCATATAATTGGGAAGGATAAAAAACGCTAAGATGAGGTTTTTGTGGCTAGCCATGTTGACGTGAGGGCTTGGGAGTTTTTGAGAGAGACACAAAAAGTCGGTTACTGAAACCCGTCGAGACGAGATCGGGGGTCTCAGCCTTCGAGGCTGAGGAAGGTGGCCTAAATAGGGGAGTTATTTTGTCTAAGCGCATGGTGCGAAATTTAAGAAAAATCGGTGTAGTGAAATCGTATTGGGTACAGGGCGGTATTGGGTACAGGGGAGTTTAAAATAAAAGTGTTGGTGTTGAAGACACACCGGGTCAACGGAACCTATGGTTGACCATGAACAACCCAAAGAGACGTTATGTGAGTGTTTGTTATTTTTTTAATAACCTGATGATCTTGAGAGAGAGTTCACATATCATTTTGTCTGAGTCCACTTTCTATTTGCAAAGAGGTTGTATGTTGTTGGGTTTCTTATGCTGATAATTTAGCTAGAGTATAATTACAAAAAAATGGGTGAAAATTTAATTTTATACACCACTATCCCTAAAGTAAAAGTGAAATTATAAGTATTTTGTACTGAGTTAGTGCATGTGTAATTATTCAACAGGTTAAATTAATAATAAATAGCAGGGTCAAATTGGCCGTATTTCCTTTGTTCTAGTTTCTTTTATTTTATAGAATTTTACATTATTTCTGTTAAAAGTTTTTACATGTTGTTTTTTTATTCTGTCCATGGAGTCGTTGTTTTACTTATTATACTTTATATTTGAAACCTTGGACTTTCATTTTCTCTAGGACTGAGAAAAACATCATCCTCGTAGAGTAAGATGAAGTTAAGAGAAGACTTTTTGTCAATCTATCGAGAAGAGAATAGTGAATGAAAAGCATTTTAATTAAGATCAAAATTCAGTTTTGGAACCACATAATAAGAGTAGGTATACCAAATGATCAGATTTCAAAAAGACCGGCCTTCGTGCGACCGGCACGGAATTGCCAAAAAATATAAATTTTGATGTGGAGAAATCTGAGAAATTTGGCAGCTGCCAAAATTGATTTTAAAAAAATTAACAAGTTAGAAAGGAGCATTTCTTACAAAACAGAAGTCTTATTGAAACGAGCAGACAATTGAAGGATATTTTTGGATGGCAAGAATTATCGGCAGTAAAGAAAACAGAATGATATAAACAATATAAAAAAGTTATTCTCGAGTGGTGCCTGAATCTTCAATAGAAAGTTCAAAAAAGACGTGGAGACTGGTTGGATTTTCCACAAAATGAAAAACATTTTTCTAGTTCAAAGAGAATTTTAATCAACAAGAATTTGGAATGGCAATGGCTCATCGATTCTGAGAAACATGTTCATGGAAATTTTGAGGAAACACATCTAAACTTACCAAAATGACCTAAACATATGGTACCGTGAAGATATGTTGATGATGATCTGGGCTATGATCTGATATCATAATCCTAATCCTTCCTAATCCTAACACTGTTAGGATAAAAAACTCGATGATACGAGTGTTTATCGAATGAACTCATACTAACAGATATCTTTACTATACATCTAATCATCATGCTAGTGCCAGTTAAGTGTATAGTCAGGTGTGTGTGTGTGTGTGTGTGTGTGTGTGTGTGTGTGTGTGTGTGTGATAGAGCTTAGACAGTTTTCAATACGGTTCATAATCTGAAAGAGAAAATAACTATTATTGAAACGGCCTTGAAGGAAATTGCATATCCGGAACAGTTTGTAGAAAGAGCTTTCAGTGAAGCTTGAAAAAGCAATAAACAACATTATACATATTCTATAATCATTAAACACCGAATAACATGCATACCTCACAACTTTTTACTTTATGTTGGTCTGAAACTTTTAGAACTACTAACACATTGAGATCTCTTTTGACACGAACTAAACCCGAAAATAAGTTAAAAAACGAAAGAGTGTATTCACAAAATATACCTTGTTCCCGTGGAAGAAGTTATATAGGGTAACCTCAAGATCCCTAGGTGTGATAAAGAAAACCATCGTGAATATATTAAAGACAAATAAACAGGATAGCGGTGCACATTCTGAATTCATCTGGACAAAACTCATAAAGCCGCATATATTCTTTTAGTAGATAATGAGTGTATTTCATATATCTCTGTGGAAATGGATCGTTCTTGGTTGCCACTGCTAAGGCGAGAGGTTGAAAACAGAATTATGAACCTAAACTATATTCTCAGAAAACATACTGATTAGGTGTTCAAGTAGACCATATGACATCTAGATATCGCACGTCAAAAGACGTGTGTCAAAGGAAATCTAGCTGTTCATAATTGAAGCGTTGTTTTCAAGTGAATTTTTTATTTTGAAAACGGAAAAGGATATTTTCTGAAACGTCGCACATACCTATCTTTTGTTCACAATGACTTTTTTGGCTAGGCTTTTATGTTGATCATTTTACCAGTTTTCACATTAATTTTTATTTTATTAGGCTTTCATAGGAATCTGTCCTCGACCTTTAACCATGTTTAATAATAATAATCTAAGTGAAGCTAAATACAATAATACATTTTTTTCAATTGATTATTCAATTTGTAGGCAAAATGCATGAATACGACAAATTTCTGACTAATTCGACTCTTCAGTGGTTTATATCACGCGGTAAATTTTTGAAGCTAACTTTTCAGTTGGATCATTGACTCCTCCACGGAAAATGAATATCCT